AACCATTTCCAACAAGAACACTATGTGGAAATTCCTATTTTGTTCTCTTTATTGATGATTTTTCTCGATACACTTATATTTTTAATCTCAGAAAAGTCTCAAGTGTTAAATTGTTTTAAAAATTTCAAACTTGAAGTCGAAAAACAATTGAATAAGCATATTAAGGTAGTGAGATCAGATAGGGGAGGTGAATATTTTGGTAGATACACTGAAAGTGGTCAACACAAAGGTCCATTTGCATTGTATCTTGAATAAGAGGGCATTGTTGCTCAATACACCACTCCTGGTTCCCACCAAAGCAATGCAAACCACTCCTTTTGAGACATGGCCAAGTCGAAAACCTAGCTTCAATCATTTTCATAATTGGGATTGTAGATGTGAAGCTAAGCCATATAATCCAAATGAAAGAAAATTGGATATGAAGACTACTAGCTGCTACTTTGTTGGTTATGCAAAAAAATCCAAGGGGTTTAAATTTTATTGTCCTAGTGCACATACAAGGATAGTTGAAAGTCACAATGCAAAGTTTATTAAAGACTTTGGTTATCACAAGCACATTCTAGGCAGTCATATGTATTTGAAGAGCATGCAGAACCTCTACCTCTATCTCAAGATCCTGCAATGACCAACATTATTACAATTCCATTATATTTATCTGGTTCGGAGACACCATTTCCATTTGTGACTTCACCAGATATCTTTGAACCTGTTGCAGCAGATACAATGGCTTTTAATGATCCAATGCACTCATCTGCAGTAATTATAGAAGTACCAGAATCACTTATACAGTCTTTTTCACCTTCGTTGAGGAAATCAATGAGAAATAAGAAGCCTGCTAGACCAAATGATTACTTATGTTATCTACAAGAGGTTGAGTATGACCTTGGTGATGAAGATGATCCAGTAACTTACAAATAGGCAGTGGATAGTACTAAAAGTGATTTGTGATAGGCTGCAATGATTGAAGAACTTGCTTCTATGGCAAGTAATAATGTTTGGACTTTGGTTGATGATTCAAACACTAAGAAGGCAATTGGATGCAAATGGGTATTTAAATAAAAAAGGGATGCTTAAGGGAAGATTGAGAGGCTTAAAGCCCGGCTCGTAGCTAAAGGTTTTACACAGAAGGAAGGGTTGGATTACACAGAGACATTCTCTCCAGTTTCTATAAAATACTCATTTAGAGTCATCATGGCACTCACAGCTCACTTTGACTTGGAGCTTCACCAAATGAATGCCAAGACTGCCTTTCTTAATGGCAGTCTCGATAAGGACATTTACATGGTACAACCCCCATGATTTGTTGAAAGGGGGAAAGAACATCTGGCACACAAGCTAAGCAAGTCTATTTCTGGTTTAAAATAGGCTTCTAGGTAGTGGTATAAGCATTTTGATTAAGTTGTGCAGTCTTTTGGTTTTGTGGAAAACAAAATTGATCATTGTATCTACATGAAGCAAAAAAAGTCTTAATTCATTTTCATGCTTTTATATGTGGATGACTCAAAAAAGTCTTAATTCATTGAGATTATGAGAAACTAGCAACATAGAACCTTGGGGCTATCTCAAAAAAGTTACAGAGTCTTGAAGAGATTCAATATGGAAACTTGCAATAACGGTGATATTCCCATTGGTAAAGGAGATAAGTTCTCTCTTTCATAGTGCCCTATAATTGAACATGACATTCAAGCTATGAAGGACAAGCCATATGCATATCTATTTGGTAGTGTAATGTATGCACAAGTATGCACCGGACCTGATTTAGCTTTTGCTTTAAGTGTACTAGGAAGGTTTCAATCAAATCCTGGTATTGCACACTGGAATGCAGGTAAAAAGGTACTGAGGTATTTAAAGAAGACACAAAGCTATGTATTAAGCTATCATCGAGTCCAAAACTTGGAAGTTGTTTGTTATAGTGATGCTGATTTGGGAGGCTGCATTGATGATAGAATGTCCACAAATGGGTATATTTTCATAATGGCTAGAGGTGCAGTTTCATGGAGAAGCAAAAAGCTAACCACAAAGGTTGTTTCTACAATGGAGTCAAAATATATAGGTGTTTTGAAGCAATGAGGCATGGTGTATGGCTGAAAATTTTGATCTGTGATATGAAGATAGTTAAAAGCATTAAAGAGCCAATCAAGATTTACTGTGATAACACCTCAGCTATGTTCTTTGCTAAGAACAACAGAAGGTCTAAGGCTTCGAGGCTCATGGACATCAAATATTTAAAGCTCCAAGATGAAATAAGAAATGGAATTGTTGATTTGGAGCATATTAGTACATTTAACATGGTTGCAGATCCATTAACCAAGGCATTACATGTAACTGCATTTCAAAGGCATATGCCAAACATGGGACTGCAAACAACTATTGATCATGTTTGAATGTGGGAGTAAGGTAATTTTTCACAACTTTAAGTATGTGTTTTGATTAGAATTTGTGCTTATGATGAATACAAATTATATTACATGACGATGTAATACATTTGTGAAAGCTCAGTACGAATCAGACATATGATGATGTTTGTAATTTTGCAGCAATAAAGAAAGAATGGCAGCTGCAGTGCCATTACTTACTTGACAAGCAATGTGTGAGTAATGCTTGTAATGAAGAGTTCTCTGATCCAAATGTTTTATTCTCAAATATGATCTCATTTGAATTCGATTAGTTTGTGATTTTAGTACAAATGGTATTCTAAATTGTATTATACTGTCTAAAGTTCAACTAATGCTTCTTTGAGTATGATTGAAAGAATTATTTCGACACCTTTATCTTAGTGTTAACTTATTAGTTATTTCATTTAGATGTTTTGATCATTCTCATGTGGGAGAATGTTAGAACTCATATGTCAGAAGTGAATCAAACCATCTAATAAAGATATGAAATAACATGACTAAAAGGAGATATAAAGTAATGAATCTTATACATGTTGATCAATGTATAATATAAAGTGAGAAAACTATAAGTATTGTACAAAATGATGTAGAGGACAGTTATAAGGAGTTGTAATACTGATAGCAACTGCCACCATGATAGGTGGAGTAGTTGCATCCTTATAACAAGGGTTTCGACCCCCTTTCTCGGGTAAGTTACAAGGCTCTCATAATGTAAATGCTCGTCCTATCGAGAGCAAGAGTTCCAATATGTTTCCAAGAGAAGGGAAGGTCTTAATCATATCTCAGACATCATGACTTCATCTTCAAGTGAGTCCCTTCCATTCATTGATTATAACCTGATACATTAGCAGGAATTAGGGTTAGTAATGTTGCATGCATTTATTACAGTACGTAGTTCATAAGCAGTGTCGTTAACGATCTATATGTGTTTAAGCAAACACATATATGTTAAAGGGCCAACAAAATTATTATAAAACGTCTCATAATTCTTCCAACTTTTATATAATCAGTTGTGAAATGTAATTCAAATCAATGCAAAACTGTCATTGACAATATGTACTCTCTCTCTCTCTCTCTCTCTCTCTCTCTCTTTCTCTCTCTCTATTTAGTAACTAGGGAGTCTAGAACACCGAGCTGAATGCTTACTGGTCAATGTACACAGTTTGATTTGATAAGTCCCCTAGTTATGGAATAAAATCATGGCCAGAAGCCCCATTTTCTCAATAAATATTCTTAACAAACTCCACGGGTGGCATGCACAAAATCTAGAAAGTTTACCAGTGAATCAATTGTTTTTTTCTGGGATTAGGATCTCACTCTTCCACCTCTACATCAACTCAGAAAACCCTAGCAAATGGTAGTTTTCCTTTAATTACTTCTCATTTTCAATCAAACTGGTATAAATGATGTGTATTCAATTAGAGAATTACCCAACTGAGTCCGACTGCGTGCCCCTTAAGAGCATCTAGGAAGAACATCTTCATCCGAGTATAGCTGTTGAAAGCAAAATATATGAGAAAAGCATTCCCACCAAAAGTTGCAAATAAATGCATATTTCTTTGCTTTTCTTTTTCTTTTGTTGAATGTATATATCTTATTACCCCCACAAAAAAGCTAGCGTAGGCAATCCAAAAGAAGAATCCCACCACATTCCACACAACCTATTTGCCCCTTCCATTTTACCTCATCCCCAAAATACCCTTGTTTCATTTTCTTATATCTAATGGTTAATGATATTAAGTTTAACAAACCCTAATATACTCGCAGTGGTTACCTTTCCACTTCATTGCTTTGTCTAATTCTTATTCAAAAGCTGAAAAGAAGAACAAGTTTTTGATGTACAAAGAGAGACTTCCAACTGAGCAAAACCTTATCTTCAATCTTCACGTTAGTATTACGGTTATCTGACTGAACTCTGACATTTTTTTACTTTTCTTTATACAAAATTAAGAAGCAGCTGCATGCACACAACAAAAAATTCAGTGCACCCAGTTTTTCTGTAATTTCCTAATGTAAAAGGTGAACTGCAAAAAGAAAAATTAGCCATTACTATCAGTTTAGTGATTTTTCTTGTTTTCACAATATTAGCAGAGGTCACTAGCTCGAGCCCCTCTCTATATAAATTGGAACAAATAAAGAAGAAATGTTGTTCACACTTTCAGTTTTTTATGTTATATTTTGTTCATAAAATATTAACTTGAAGGCATAGGACGACAATTTAGAATTGAGAATAGCAATATCTAAAAAGAAAACCATTATCACTTTTTCCTAGCATGCGAGGTTCAACGGCATAATGTGCAAAGACTGCTTCTTTTCACATATATTCAACAAAATTGTGGATTCCGAGTGGACTAAGTGGTATTATGTTCTCACAGAATGTTACGAAACATCTTTTTCTTGAAGGGAATGATGGGAAGCCATTTATATAGTTCCATAGCCAAATGTAGGCTTAAGCTTGACTCCTTTTTCACTGGTTAGTTCTTGAAGAATTCTTGCATTAGGTAGGTATCTTAGTTGTACACCACTTGAACAAAACCCTCTTCACCAATTGTTGAGAATGCTGGGGGGGAAAAGTTATTGAAAGCAAACATTTAGGGGGAATTTAGTAGATAAAAGCCTAAAAATGTCAATTGGAAAAAAAGGGTAAAGGCAAAAGACAAAATTTCTCACCCCTCTTCCGTAACTCTCATCTCCACTACCTCTCTACTTTCCTCTCTCTTCACTTCTCCTTCATCACTAAGTCTTCTTTACCTTCGTCCTCCTCCTCCTTCTTTTTCTTCTACTACTACTACTTCTTCTTCTTCTTCTTCTCCTTTCCAAATTGTTCTGCTAAACACAAAACAACATTGAAGCTAGTCTCTTTTACTCTCTCTCTCTCTCTCTGTTCTTCAATGGCAGAGAATGAGCCCGAGTCTAATTACGCTAAACACCAAAAGTTGGTCTCAGAACAACAAAACTATGAAACCCCAAGTAAGTTTTACAATCATTTTCTTTACAAAATTGCTCTAGTTGTAGTTTTCTTTGTTATTCTTTCACTTTTTCCGTCACAAGCTCCTGAGTTCTTCAACCAAAGTGTTGTCACCAGAAGCTGGGAGCTTCTGTACCTTCTTCTTGTTGGCATAGCAGTCTCTTATGGCCTTTTTAGCAGAAGAAATGAGAAAACAGACATGGACAACAATCACACAAAATTTGATAATGCTCATTCATACGTGTCTAGATTTCCTCAGGTGTCAGTTTTTGGTGACGAGACTGAAACCTCACCTGGTTCTGGTGACAACAAGGTCCAAACATGGAGTAGCCAGTACTATCGTAACGAGCCGGTGGTGGTTGGGGCTCAGGAGCACTCTGCTCTTAATGAACAGAAAGGTACCGCTTCACGAATCGGTGAAGAAACACTGCTTTTGCCGGTCAGGAGCTTGAAACAACATGTTCCCGAAAACTGGGATACCATAGAGTCTGTTAAAGAATCTAGTGGGGATTCTGGCTCTCTAAGTAGGTCAAATTCGAGGTCTGGTTCTAAAAGGTTTTCGAGCAAATCGAACAAGGCTAAAGGCGGAGATTTTGGAGGGTTGGATCATCAAGAATTGGAGGAGAAGTTGAACGAAAGTGTTGTGCTTCCTTCTCCAATTCCATGGAGATCGAGGTCAGGAAGATTGGATGTGAAGGAGGAAGTTGATAATAATACTCCTCCAATGGAGGAATCTGTGTTTAGGCGCCAAGAGTCATGGGGTTCGAGGTCCCAAGGTTCTCGTTCTTCTCGATTAAATTCCATTTCTTCATCCCCAAAGGTGTCTCCTTCGCCATCACTTTCATCTCCAAAGAAGTCTTCTCCTTCACCTGCATTGTCATCATCAGAATCTCAAACAAAGAATGCAGAGGATTTGGGGAGGAAGAAGAGCTTGTACAAATCTTCACCTCCCCCACCTCCGCTGCCTCCAACAATGTTTTACAAATCATCATCAACAAGGCTGATCAAAGATGGGGTTTCATATGAGAGGGATTTGAGGAGAAGTTTCAGTAGTGGAACGAACAACATGAATAAGAGCAATGGAGAATTTGTGACCGGCAGAGTGAATTCAGGGATCGAAACCAAGCAAAGAAGCTACGTTGATGGTTTATCGATGAGTAAATCAATTCGAACAACCAGAGCTGGTGAGAGCGCGGCAGGGGCTTGGAAGGTAATGGAGAAAAGCTCAAAGGAAGTTGAAACAAGTTTGGTGGAGAAAGCGGTAGGAAAGAAAGAAGGGTTTGATGAAACTTCTTTCAGGGCTGAGAAAATGCGACCTGAAAGTTTCCACAACATGTCAAAGTTTGCTTCTTTCAATGAATTTTCGGAGGCAGAGAAAGAACATTTTCTCGACAAGGTGGGTATTGAATCGGATGAAGAAACTGAAAACGAAGATGATGGCTTTGACGAAAACTTGATCTGGAAAGACATTAGGGAGATCCCAAAGACAACTCCAAACAATTATGTGTCTGTTTCAGGCAATGTGGGTGATGCAGGGCCAGATGTGGATAAGAAGGCTGATGAGTTCATAGCGAAATTCAGGGGGCAAATTAGGCTTCAGAGAATAGATTTGATCAAGAGATCGAGTGCTCAGATTAGTAAAAACTTATCAAGGTAAAACTTTTACGTTTGCCTTCCTTGGGTTTTATGTTGTAATTGACTTGGTATTTTATCTTCTGTTTCAAAATTATGATCATGCTATACAAAGATTTTACATGCTTTTTGTGTAGACAGTACACCAGTTGCACTGGGTTCATGTTATTAAAACTTTAAACTCATTGTTATATATAGTTTTCAGTTTCTGCAGCGACTCTTGAAAGCATGCCTTACGTAGGTAAATTTGTGTAGTAAGGCAAGAAACTATAAATGTGCAAGATTTTTATGTAAATGTGCATATTGAAAGTAGGTTCTTGGTTGAGAACAAACTAGAGACCAGAAGAAATAAATTCATTTCTGTATAACAATGTGGACTTGGGGATTAGCTTAAGTCTTGAGACAATACATGAAGTGTTTTCCAAGGCATGTTCTAGTTTTAATCCAAAGAGATCCTAATCACTATATTATCCTAAAACCAATTTTACAAATAATTGAATATTCCTCCATCTTATTCCAAGGGTTGAGAAATGTTAACGAGACTCTCTCAAAATGAAGCTCTTTTTGGACTCTGACAACTCACAATTTAATGTTAATTTTTGTGTCTATATTATAAAACAAAATGTCAAAAATATAAAGTGATGAATAGTCCATGGAAAGTTTCACTTTTAAGACTCTCTTATGGGTTTTGGTACATTGCACAACACCTAGAGAATAAATATAATTAAAAATACAACCGCTGACATGATTGTATTTTTTATTTTTTATTTTGAAGCAAGTACGATATTCATTGAAATGAAGATAAAACGTACAAATTCAAGGATAGGGTGCTAACAATGGGCCTCGATAAAAACTTTGTCGGGGCTTTCAACCCGATCGAAGGAAAAAAGAGTGTCCCGCACCAAATTAACAAGAAAGACTATCATCCAATAATAAATCAGATATAATATCAGGGGGTTCTTCAAACCAAGAAATGAGATGATTAGCCGTTAGACTCCACCTTGCTAGCCGATGAGCCACTTTATTCGTCTCCCTTAGGTCGAAAGAAATCTTCCATTGCTTGAATTCTTGCAAGATTCGCCTGGTATCAGCAAACAGATGACCAAAGTGACCCAAGAAAGATGTTCCCGCACTCTGTATACCGGAAACCACCATTAAAGCATCGCCTTCCACCTGCACCAGTTGTTCACGCCAATGCCGAGCAAACAATGCTGCACTTCGTGCAGCAACTGCCTCTGCATGCAGAGCCGAAGTGATACCAGTCTCCCGCGAAGCCATTGCAGCTATAAAACCTCCTGTGACGTTTCGAACCACAATTCCTATACCCCCATACAAACCATTCTCCTCCCAAGCCGCATCAAAGTTACACTTTATCCATCCAAACTCCGGATGTTTCCACTTGTGAACACGAACCGTTGGTGAAGGTGACTGAACCTCATTCCATTTCTTAAATTCCGTCAACCAAGATTGGGCTTTAAGTTGCACATCCACTAATAATTTTGTATGTGGTAAAGCTGATTATGAACAATTGCAACCGATAAATGTGAAATTAAATTGTAAATTGGAGGGCAAGAGTGGTCAACTAATAACTTTATTTTATTATATTTAAAAAAAATATTATTATTAAGGAGAGGAAGAGGCTTCAAAACTATTACATTAAATCAGGGAAGGGTTTCGAAATCTAAATGCATAGAGAAAAATCCAACACTCAATCCACTATCAATGTAACTTCACAGGCCAACTCCAAAAATACTTTTGACTTGATAGTTCCCAAATGAAATGGAATGGGTTTGTCAAAAGTTATTCCAATAAAAGTATAAAATATCAAAGTTATAGGTGAAGGGTAAACCATACAATATCAAACAAAGTACAAGAGATTTACATGGTACGAAACCCTATCCAAATTGGACACAACTAGCCTAAATAAAGCATCAAAACGAAATAGGAAATACGAATCACGGCGCCCAAATTTTTTGCCCGTTACAGACTGATCACCTATCACCTCTAACCAGTCGCCCGTTGCCAAAAACTTCATCCGCTGCTTCTTTGCTTCTCCCGACTGATCGTGATCTGTGTCTTAAATGCCGATAATATCGGCGATATTTCGCTGATATTATCGGTTTTTCGCGAGACCGATATTTTAATGGTTATCCAATTGGTTTTCGTCAAAATATTGCGATATTATCGATATTATCGCGAAATTTCGAAACTGTGCAAATCGGAGAAGAACGCCGGAGCTTCTACAACTCCGGTCGACTGTAAAAGAGCCCCCTAGACTCCGATCTAGGTATGAAAATGAAATAGAAGACGAAAGGAACGTCTGTATAATGTCCGTTTGCCGTGAAACGGTCGGAGGTGTTCGGAAAGTTCATCGACACCCACGGCCTCGCTGGAGATGGGTGTGCCTATTCCCGAGCCGATTTCATCCCCAAAACATTGCAAAAACATGAGATAGAACTTCAATTTCACATCTAAGCTTCGATCTAGAACAGAAAAAGAAAAACCCGAAGCTCACCTAACCAGAGAAATTAAAGAAACTCGCCGGAGCAAGTGCGATGGTGTGCGTGTGGGTCTCGGTGCAGAGAGAAAGGAGAGGTGTATGTGGGTCTCGGTGCAGAGAGAAAGGAGAGGGAGGAACAAAAGGTCGTGGTGTGTGTGTGGGAGAAGGGAGAAGAGAGATCGAGAGATCTCTGTGTGTGTGAGGGAGTGGAGAATGGAGAGAAATTGAAGAAACTCGTCGGAGCAGGTGCGATGGTATGCGTGTGGGTCTCGGTACAGAGAGAAATGAGAGGTGTATGTGGGTCTCGGTGCAGAGAGAAAGGAGAGGGAGGAGCAGAAGGCCGTGGTGTGTGTGTGGGAGAAGGGAAAAGAGAGATCGAGAGATCTGTGTGTGTGTGTGTGTGTGGGAGTGGAGAATGGAGAGAATAGAGAAGGATCGAGAGAGAGAGAGACAGAGGTCTCTGTGTGTCTGCGTGTGTGATGTTTGTGTGTGTGCGTTGTTGTGTGCGTGTGTGGTTGCGTGCGTTGCGTGTGTGTATAGGGTTCCTCCTGTCAGGACTCAGGACACACTCAGGAACTTCTGACAACTTTTACAATTATTTTGACAATTTCAGACCATGGACAAAAATAATGGTGATTTTTTTGAAAAGAATCTAAATAATTCAAAGCACAGACAACTTTTACAATTATAACTTGTACAATTTCAGACCATGGATGGTGGTTTCATTCAAAACTATGTGCCACTATGATATTCTTTCAAGAGGTGGAGTATCAGAGCCATTCAGAGCATTTTCGTTTCTTCTTCTTCCCTTACCCCTTTCAAAGTCATTCCAGATCCATTCCAGAGCTTGAACACAAAGGGTTCCATATTTAAAGTAAGTTTACAAACTTATATTTATATTATTGTAATTTATACAACAACAAAAAAATTTGTGTGGACTCGTATGTTAATTTTTTTAAGTAATTAATACTTGCATGTTAGTTTTTGTAAGTAATTAAGTAATGTTAACAATTACATGTTAATTTTTTTAAGTAATTAAGTAATGTTGTATAATTATTCCCTAGGATAATTTTAATGTTTAATGTTATTTATTATTTTATTAATATTAGGTTTTATTATCAAATTGGATTATTATTCATTAATATTAGGTCTTTTTATTATCAAATTGGATTATTATTCATTAAATTGGATTATTATCAAATTGGATTATTATTCATCACTATGTTTTATATTAGGATTATTTTTTTATCAAATTGGATTATTATTCTTTAATATTAGGTTTTATTATTCCATATTATTTTTATAATTACTTAAATTTTTTACAATCATTTTCTTTACTTTGCATTTAATTCTTTTGTAGAATAACTTTATTATTTAGGTTCTCTTATATAACCGTCATCACTACTATATTTTTTGGCCAAAAAATAATTGTCTAATTTTCATGAAAAATAAATATAGGTACGTTTAAGATGTCCAGTGGAGTTACTAAACGTGATCCAGTTTGGGAACATGGAGACCCAATAGACGGAAACAAACATGACACAATTTGCAAATATTGTGGTCGGGTAATGAAGAGTGGCGGAGTGACACGACTTAAGTACCATCTTAGTGGATTAGATCCAGCAAAAAATGTCCAACGATGCGATAATGTCCCCCCAGAAGTGAAGACATTCATCAGCACATTATTAAAAAAATTAAAAACAGCAGAAGGAAAAGATAACACATGGAATGGAAAATATTCGAGCTGGGCTACAAGGAGAAGTCATTGGCCAAGCGGCTGACAGTGATGATGATGACGATGAGGACGAATGTGATGATGACATGGGACCTAAAGAACGACGCAGTTTGAAACAAGCATTACGTGCCTCCAAACAGTCAGCATGGGAAAGAGAACACCTTCATAAAATTCCTAATAGAGCACAAGGTTCCGGGACAAGTGGTGGTGCACAAATGAGACGGGGAGGCAGTCTTAGAGAATCACAACCAACACCACCAATAGCCCCAAGTTTATATAAGTCATCCAAAGCACGTCAAAAGAGTGTTTGGAGTTATTAAACTGGAGGTAATGTGAAGCAGGGAATGGGGCGTCTAATTAGCAAGTTCTTTATCTATGAAAATGTCCCTGCTGAGAAAGCATCATCACATCATTTCAAAAATATGGTAGTGGGATATCAACAGGCCGGTGTTGGAGTACAACCTCCCACTCCCTATGAGATAAGAAACAAATATTTGGATATGGAGTATAAAGACATTGGCGAGTATGTTAACAAGTTGAGGTCAAAGTGGGAAACTAATGGTTACACAATCATGTGTGACGGATGGATTGGCCTGACCAGATTGTCTATCATAAACTTCATGGTATACTCCAAGGGAAAGACAATTTTTTTGAAGTCTGTTGATGCTTCAGACCATATAAAGAACTACAAGTATATTTACAAATTATTGAGGGATGTAATCATGGAGGTGGAAGAGCATAATGTTGTCCAAGTCGTGACCGACAACGGTTCTGCATTTGTCAAAGCTGGAAAAAAGTTAATGAAGCATCATAATGAGTTTTGGACATCATGTGCAGCACATTGTATTGATCTCATGTTTGAGGCAATAGAGAAGAGAGAGAATGTTGCTACTGTGGTAAAAAGAGCTAGAACGATCACAAATTATATTTACAATCACGGTTGGTTGTTGGCAAAGATGTGTGAATTTTGCAAAGGAGAAAT